CCGGCGCCCGAGGGCCCCTTCCCGGCCCGCCTGCTGGACGTCAGCGGCGCCGGGACCCTGGCCCACAGCTACCAGTATGAGGTGTGTCTCTCTGGAGACTCTGGCACTGGTGAGTTCAAATTCCTCAAGACAGTTTTCCCCAACCTCCTGCCCCAGAGTGCTGGGGAAGAAACAGAAGGAAATGCTATGGTCCAGAATAGTGTTGGGTTCCAGTAGCGATCTCAGTACAATGCAGTGTTTCTGCATTTATCCCTAATTTACCCGGATGTAGAATTTGATTGTAGCAGAGAATTTTTTCACTGTCAGATATAGCTTCAATATTCCTTTTGTTCAAATTTTTAAAGCTAATTTTCTCCAATGTTCAAATCTATAGTACTGGTATAAATATGAGGCAAAAAGAGCACATTGGTAATGGTTTTGGATTCAACATTCAGTAAAGCAATTTTCTTTAAACTTAAAATGTTTTGTTAATCTTGACACACTGCAGATACTTTTTGTCTCATCTATAATGGATTTGAGTTTGTACTATAGATGCATGCATTAATATTTCTCATGCTTTTCTCGCTGCTGCTTTAAAACTTTTGATAATGGTTATGGTATGAAAATAAGATGTGCTTTTCTTTTATTTTTTAAAAAATATTATATGAATTGAGTAATTATTTAGTTGTAGTAAAGCCATTGTTCTTACATGAGACAATATTCTTAATCATTTTGGGCGCAAACTAAACTGTTGAGAACAAATGTCACAATGTATAATTTATTTCTATGCACCATCAAAACTGGCAAAACAAAAATAAAAATCTTGAACCTAGGTGGAAACCTAAGGAGTTGCAGTATTCATTCTAAAAATTGTTCATTAAAAGACTAAAAAGGTGCTACCCATCTCTAATTAGTACTACAGAGATTTATACAGTTTTTCAAGAGTTAATTTTAGAGAAAGTTAAAGTGACCATCTTGGATACAACTGATTTCTTAAGCAATTTTCCCATAACTATATTTGTTGATACTTTTGTGGAGGAGGATCTTCAAATATGGTGGATCTTCAAACATTTCTATTTGGTTTTCTCTAAATACATCATGTTTACTAGTTTTGTGTTATTTTATGCTGTTTATTAAAATATGAAATAGTGCAGTATCTTTTCCTGAGCAAAATAATCTTCTGTCAGAAGAGTATAAGACAAAAACTTCTTTGGAAATTGAAATAGAGATTTCAACTGTTTAAAAAATGAGGTTATAATTGAGTGCTAGAATGCTTGCTTATCACGTCCAAGGTCCTGGGTTTAAACACCCTTCCACCCGTGTCAAACATAAATGGGGGAGTTGCTCAGAATTCATTCAAGAGGCTTTAGGTTCAATTCTCAGCACCAACAAACAGAAAAGAAAAAACAGTGTGAGATCATTGATACTTCGTGTACTCATTCAGATAAGCACAAAGGAGGAGTGTGTCTATATGGCTTATATATGCTTCATTGTGTTGCAAATCACCGTGTTTCAAATCTATAAGTAGGCGATTCAGTGGAAGATTACAGGTAGAGATGTTGGTAACTAGAATGTTGAACAACAAACAATCAAAATTCAAATTGATGAATATTAGTAGCTCAAAATTAAAAGATAATATAAACTAGCAGGTAACAAGGAAAAGCTAACTGCAGTATTTTTACTGAGAAGGAATGGTATTTTGACTATTCAAATAACTATTATGAGTCAACAAAACTCCCTAAAAGGTGTTGTAAGAAGAAACTTTTTAAAAGGGAGAGGAAACTTTAAACAGGGGAAACAGAAAATCAGAAAAGAAATGATGTTTTACCAGCAGTTTACATCCATATAATGAAGGTGAAAACTTTAGATATCAAGTGGACTGATAAGAAATTACATGGACAATCTGCCTAGAGTTTTCTGATCATATTTAGTGATATTTAATATGTGCATACTCTGAAAACTCTTAGACACCTTGTAAAACGATCTGTACAAGTATGTTCATGTTGGAAAGGCAAAGAATATAGATCATTAAAACAATCCACGATACAAAATGGAAAATGCTTGTGAAAGGTTATTATGTAGTAATCAAAAGGAATGAGCTAGACGTACATAGAACCACATCAGTAAAACCCAAATGTTTAAAAGAAAAAAGACTAAAATTTATAGCACAGTGAAATATATATCCATACAATACACAGTATTTTAAATTTGTAGAATATACAGACTATATATAAATTCACATATTAGAGGAAAGAAAGGGGAAACAGATATCAGAAAGATATGTGTATGTAGGGGATATGAGGGATATGTATATATCCACAAGGAAAAAAGGATTACAGAGAGAAGTGGAAACAAATACCAATGTAAATGACAGAAGATGTGTCTTCCAACAGATTGTTTACCTCAGTGGTAAACATGTGTTGCTCATCATAGAGTGGATTTAATCAACTGATTTTAAATATATATTATTTCTATGCTTTCAAGATCAATTGCCCAAACACTATGCAAGCTAAGAATTTACTTGCAAATTTGAAGTGTAACAGTCTCCTTGAGACTTTAACTTTTAATAAGGATGGAAAAATTTCTATAAACTCATGCTTTCACTGAAATGATTATCTTCAGACAGCAGTGTATAAACATCAGTGTTAATGTTAAAAGGGAACCAAGAGAGATAAACAGCACAAAATCTAATTTTTCCAGGAAACATTTGGAGTCCTGGGAAATTTGAACCTCCATTTCAATGTTTTAAATAATAAGAGGGTAAAGCAAAGCCTAACAAAAGAAAAACACACAAAATACTCTCCCACTGATAAGCATGGATCCCTGATAGCTACACCTACAATGTATGGAAAAGCCCTAATGAGTCCTTGTATGCAATTTCAGCCATGAGCTTAGTTGTAGCCTTAAGCTTGATTTTTGTTGTAGTGCTTCCACATCCTGAAAGAGTCATGCATATCTTCTGTGAAAGGAATTTTATTCACCCTAAAGTTAAATTACTCTCCCTATAACTTCAAATTTCTATGTTCTTGTATGTTCCTCACTTGAGTGCAGTTAAAGATGACTGCACACACAAGAAAACATGCCATCATAAAGTAACAGCCAGTAGAATAAAAACAAGAGACAAAAATAAACTTGCATTCACTTTAAATATAGTAATTATCTGGTCTGTAATTTGTTACTTTAATTGATATAAAGTTAAACTTAAAGATGCTCAGAAAACAAGAAACTATAGAATGATAAATTTTCAAAGAACAAAATAGAACTTACAGATATAAAAAGTTCTAATCAAAATTTAAAACAAAAGATTTAATAAAAATTAGACACAACAATAAAAGAATTACTGAGCCAAAAGGTAAGATAGAATACAATTACCAACATGTCGCTCTCCAAGTTAATAAGAAAAAATATGAGGTTATTTGAAATATAAAACTAGTAAACGTGGAATATTTAAAGAAAACCAAATGAAATGTAATTAAAGTTTTTTAAATTTTATTTTAAAGATAAAAGAACAAAAACATGTTAACAAACATATATACGTACACAAAACAACACAAAAACAATAAAAGCAATACAGGATTTCAGACAAGGTTAAAAGAAATTATCAATGGTTGTTGTATTGCATACTGTCATCTTCAATTTGGTTACTCAGATGAACAAATATAGGCATGTAAGACTGATCAAACAAATAAACATTAACTGTTCATTTCAATAAAGTAATAGGAATTAGTAGTACAATTACCTATCTTGTGCATACATATACACATATTTTCCCTTCTAAGAAAAAAGTTTTAACACATATTCAGTCAGAACGCCAGAAAGACAGATGAAGAATACAGGATCAAAGCAATATTTGAAGAAGTAATGGCTGAAAAATTCTCAGAACTGATGAAAACACTAACAAATAGACATAAGAGACCTAAATAAACTTAACAGGATAAATGCAAAAGATATCTATACCTAGAAATTTGAATCGTGACATTTTAGAAAATCAGATAAAGAGAAATCTTTTTTTAAAAGGCATAGGGAAAAGACATTTAACCTTCAAAAACATGTCAGACTGACAGCTATGCTCCATGCTTCTCAACACTAGCAATGGAAAATAAAAGAAAGCTATTTTCAAAGTGCTGATGACAGGCTCAAATCAACTTGATTTCAGTTTACTTCTAAATTAATCAAGTTCATAGAAAATAGTTAAAGACATTTGTATCTCCTTTCTGAAATACAACTTCTTACAGTGTTTCTCTTTACCCATCCCTTGCCACAATCTTGGGTCTACAGGCTTTGACTATCTCTGTTGTTAGCCTTCTTTACCTCTAGTAACATTTATTTCTACTCCCTTACAACATTCATTTCTCTAGACATCTATGGGCATGGCCATGATTACCTCATAGAGATGGTGGTCTCTGACAGCTTGCCTCTCCCCCAACCCATGGAACTCGGGGCTTTTCATATTGGAGGTAAATGCTCTACCACTGAGATACCCACAGTCCAAGCTGTACTATCTCTGAAGTCACAAACTCTCTTCCTATAATTTGATTTCATATCTTTCTTGAAAGGCCTCAAACATCATTTACACTAATACATCCCAAATTTATCTTGGTAGTTCAAACTGCCTTTCTCAGTTACATAAGGACTTATATGGATGCTCTATGGACACTTCAAACTAAACTAAATTTTATATTAAAATTTTCTCTTCTTCAAGCTGTAATTGTAATATCTCCAGCCCCATGCCTATTCCTTTCCCTTATCCCTTTAGTCTATCAGTTGATAGCACCAACACCCATTCAGTTCCCTAAGCTTGAAAACAAAGTACATTTAATTTTACTCCTTCCTGTCCCAGTCTTTCTCATCTAATATATCACTGTACCAAAATCATCTTACCTGTATTACTGCAATCAGTTCTAACCAATTGCCAACCTTTAATCTTAATCTTTTCAAAGTATCAACTCTGAAACTAGATGGCCTTTGAAAATATAAAACCATGATTGTGCCACTTTTTTTGTTAAAATAATAATTTTGTGCTTCCGTTAGTGTGAAATCCAAAGGACTTACCATAGCTTACAAAATATTTACATGTTTTCCTAATTTCAACTTTCACCGTGTCTGTCCCTCTTGTTTTGTGCCTCAACCAAATAGATGTTATTTTAGTTCTTTCAAAACACTTCTTTTATTTTGGATCTGTACATCATGTTTTAGGCTCCCTAGAAATTTTTACCACTTACTCAATTTTGTTTGTATTACTCTTACTCATTGTATGTATAATTTAGAACGTACTTTCACCAGAAAAAGTCATTTTTGTACTCCCAAATTTGAAGTAGGTACACCTCATCTATGCTGTAATTGTAGCATGAATTTTTTTCACCATGGCAAGCATTGTACACTATTTTAAATGTGTCCGTTTTTCTGTCTCTCTATTACATGGCAGAAGCTGTGTCTATGACTTTCTCCCTAACACTTAATACCATGCATAGCAAAAATTGTATGCACAATAAAAACTTGCTGGACAATTAAAACAGTAAAAGTATTTAGTATTATGTCTCTGGAAATCCTGGGGCTGCAAAATTATGAAGTCCAGTTTTACAACTAAACTAAAGTCTTGTTTGTTCAACTTTGTATGTTGTTGGAATCTTGCATGCTTTATTTACTATTGAGCATTTATTTTTAGCTGTTATCAGGTAAGTCTCCTATGGAGTAACACTAAATAAATGGTATTATTTGCCTAGCCTGAAATGTCCAACCTCCTGAAAACAAATATTTGCAAGTGCAGGGTTCAAGTGCATATTTTCATTCTTACTGTCTTTTATAAGAGTATTTGATGATACCTAGAGAAGACCTCTAGGTTCCCATTTCTAAGTTTCCTGAAAACATCTATCTCACTAGTCAATTAAAAAAAAGTCATCTTAAATATCTTTAGGTGTTTCATACATTGTCTTTAGGGACAGGCCATAACTTATTTGAGGCAAGGACTATATGCACTATAGCTCTAGCACATAATGGTTTACTGTGTCAGTAGCTAAATAGAAATAGCATCATATATCACAAAGAATGCAACATATAAAGAAAAACAAAATAAAAGGAGAAAGTGTAAATTATTCAACAAACACCTAAGATACACTTAATCTTTTGTCTCGAACTTTTTAGTCAAAAACCAAACATCTGCAGAGTCGCATGGTGGCGCTGCAGGATAAGATGGAGAAATTAATGTAACCACAGATGCTCTCGTTGCCTTTAACCATTGAACTAAGAGAGCTGGAGAAAAGAAGAAATGAGCCTTTCAAGAGAAAGGACACCAACACCTCCAGACAGAATTATAAGTCTATAGATAACACAAAAGGCACAGGTGAGAGGAGCAGCTCACAGAGGTGCTAAGAGATTGAGTTAAACGTTCCACAGAAAGGCTTTTGCATAAGGAGAGTCATGGAACTCGGAGAGGGGACCCCTCGGCAGATAAGGCAAGTGCTGCTTCTCTTTTTTTTCCTGGGTGGGACGTTGGTGTATGCAGAGACCTGGGGCTACTCTGTGGCAGAGGAAGCTGAAATCGGCTTCTGTATAGCTAATGTGATAAAAGATATGGATTCCTCTGTGGGTGTGGAAGATCTAGCTGCACGAGGGGCCAGAGTCATCTTTGACGACTATAAATCTTACTTGCGGTTGGATCTACAGACTGGCAACCTGCTCTTAAATGAGCAACTGGACCGGGAGGCACTTTGTGGAACCACTGAACCCTGTATATTGCATTTCCAAGTGTTACTTGAAAATCCTTTGCAATTTTTTCGGGCTGAGCTTTCTGTCAAAGACATAAATGATCACAGTCCCATGTTCCTAGAGAAACATATGCGCCTAAAAATCTCAGAAGGTACCTCTCCAGGAACCTCCTTTCAAATGGATGGGGCGCAAGACTTAGATGTAGGAGCAAATAGCGTCCAAAACTATACAATAACCCCAAATCCTCATCTCCACGTTAAATTACACGACAGCGGTAAAGACAGAAAATACCCAGAGCTGGTACTGGACCAAACTCTGGATCGAGAAAAGGAGCCTGAATTTAATATAACGCTAACAGCCATAGATGGTGGGTCCCCTTCCAGGTCTGGGACTGCTCTGATTCAAGTGGTGGTGGTAGATATCAATGACAATGCTCCTGAGTTTGAGAGACCACTCTATGAAGTTCAGGTACCAGAGAACAGCCCTGTGGACTCTTTGGTAATCAGGGTGTCTGCTACAGACTTAGATGCAGAAATATATGGAGAGCTATCTTATTCATTTTCCCACAGCTCTAGAGATGTACAGAAAACTTTTGAAATCCACCCAGTTTCTGGGGAAGTCCGTTTGAAATCGCTACTAGATTTTGAGATGATTCAGTCCTATACAATAAATATTCAGGCCACTGATGGTGGGAGTCTTTCTGGAAAATCAGTCGTTATAGTTCAGGTTGTAGATGTGAATGATAACCCACCAGAAATAGCCATGACATCGCTTATCAGTCCCATACCGGAAAACTCTTCCCCTGAGATGATGGTCGCTATTTTCAGAATAAGAGACCAAGACACTGGAGACAATGGGAGGATGATTTGCTCCATTCAAAATGACCTGCCTTTTCTCGTGAAGCCTACATTTAAGAATTTCTACACGTTAGTAACTGAGCGCTCACTGGACAGAGAGACCAGGGCCGAGTACAACATCACCATCACCGTCACCGACTTGGGGACACCCAGGCTCCAAACCCAGCACAACATCACTGTGCTGGTGTCCGACGTCAA